ACAGTTGACGTTAGAATTTGGTCTGGGTTTAGGGTTAGGGTTTGGGTTAGGGTTACCGTTATGGTTTGGGCAAGGCCTACGCTTGGATTTGGGGTTACAGTTGGCGTTAGCATTTGGCTTAGGCTTAGGGCTAGGGCTAGGTTTAGCTTTAGGCTTTGCGTTAGGGCGGGCTTAGGATAAGGCCTGCAGTTGACGTAAGATTTTGAGCTAGGTTTAGGGTTAGGGTTTGGGTTAGGGTTAGGGTTACGGTAATGGTTTGGGTAAGGACTGGACTTGGCTTTAGAGATGACGTTGTCGTTAGCATATTGGTTAGGGTTAGGTCTAGTGTTAGGGTTACAGTTACGGATATGGTTTGGCTAAGGCCTAGGCTTCGCTTTAGTTTAAACGTTTGCGTTAGCATTTGTGTTAGGGTTAGGGCTAGATCTAGGTTGAGCGTTAGGTTTGCGTTAGGGCGAGCTTTGGATAAGGCCTAAATCTGGCGTTATAATTTGTGCAAGGGTTAGAGCTTGGGTCAGAGTTAGGTTTAGAGTTATGGTTTTGTTTAGGGCTTGGCTTGACTTTTGTGTTAACTTAAGCGTTGTCATTAGGGTTAGCGTTAGCTTTTGTGCTAGGGCTAGGGTTATGCTTATGGTTTGCGTGAGTGCGAGCTTCGGACTCGTGATAACTTTGGCTTTAGATTGAGGGTTATGCATGGAGCTAGATTTTGTGATTGGGCAAGTGCTGGGATTAAACTTAGGACTTACGTCGGTGTAAGTGTTAGGTTTAGGATTAGGGTTTGGTTTAGGGCTAGGATTAGGGTAATGTTTAGGTTTGTTTTTAGGGTTCGGGTCGGGGCTAGCTTAAGCATTAGGTTTAGCTTTAAAGTTATGCTTAAGCTTCGATTTAGGCTACGGGTTTGGTTATGTGGGATTTTGAGTTAGAGTTAGGCATTTCGTTTGGTCTAGGTTTGAGGATTGGGATTATACTGACTGCCTGATCAGGTTGAGTTTTAATATTAGAGCTAGTACTAACATGAGGGTTAGGTTTAGGGTTCGTGTTAGGTTAAGGGTTGTAGTGAGGGCTAGAGTTAGGCTTGCATTTAGGATGAGGATTGGGATAAGACGTGTTGCTTTAGATTAAGGGTAAGAGGAAGGTGTATGGATAGGGTCTGTGCTAGAAGTAGCGTTAGGATTAAGGCTAGCCTTATGGTTAGGTTTAGGATAGGGGTCAGGGCTAGCATTAGCGTTAGGATTGGGTAAAGTAACAGTTAGGCTAAGGCTTACGGTTTTTATTAGGATTAGGTCTAAGATAAAGTTTAGGATGGGGCGAGGGTTACGGTTAGGGGGTTAGGGTCGAGGTAATGTTTGGGGTTGGGTTTGAGGTTATTTTTGGTTTGAGGTTTAGTTTTTTGGGACAGGCTTCGGCTTAGAGTTAGGTTAAGAACAATGTTTAGGGTTTATGAAGCGTTCAGGAATTGCTTTAAGTTTCGATTTAGGGTTAGGTTTAGGGTTAGTATTAATGTTAGGGTTAGGGTTGAGGTCAGGCCTAGTGTTAGGGTTAACGTTGTGATTAGGGTTAACTTTATGGTTGCAGTTAGTTTCAGCTTTAGATTTAGGTTTACGGTTAGCGATGTGTTTAGGAATTTCCTTAGGTTTTCATTTAGGGTTAGGGCAAGTTTTGGTATGAGTGCTAGGGTTCACTTTATTATTTTTGTTCGGTCTAGCCTTTTGGGTGTGTTAGAGGTAGGGAGAGGATCAGGTTTAGGGTTATGTTTATGTTTAGATTTACCGGTAACAGGAATGGTAATGTTGGGGTTAGGAATAGAGATAGTGTTATGTTCAGGATCAGGATTTGTATTAGGCATATTGTTATTTTTATTTTTATTGTGAGGATTTTTGCTGGGTTTTGCATTTTGTGCGTGTTAGTATTGCGTATTTGATTTGGATTCTGGTCAGGCTTTTGTTTATATTATCATTTAAATCCTGCGCTTTGGCTACGGCTGGGTTATGTTTTGCGTTTGGTCGAAGTTACTGTTAGGGATAACCTTGGCTTTCGATTAGGGTTTAGTGTAGGGACTAGCGTTTGTGTTATGGCTGGGGCTGGTATTAGGTTTAGGGCTAATGTTTGTGTAAGCGTTATCGATAGTATTAGATTTTGGGTAACGGCTATATTTATTGTCAGTGTTAGCGTTTTGATTTGGTTTCGGGCTTGGGCTATTGTTAGTTTTAGGTATATTCTGGGATAATTTTAGTGTTAGGATCATGCTCGGCCTTAGGGCTAGGGTAAGGCTTAGAGTAATATTTAGGTCTAGGGTCAGTTTTATAGTAAGTTTCAGCGCTATGTTTAAGGTTAGGGCTAGATTTACGGTCAGGGTCAGGGTTTGGATTAGGGTTCGGGCTTGTGCTATGGTTAATTTTAGGTTTATTTTTAGGATAAATTTTAGTGTTAGGATCAGGCTCGGCCTTAGGGCTAGGGTATGGCTAAGGGTAAAGTTTAGGTCTAGGTTCAGGTTTAGAATTAGGTTCAGCGCTAGGTTTAAGGTTAGAGCTAGAGTTAGGGTAAGGTTTAGGGTTGGGGCTAGTTTTAGGGTTACGGTCAGATTTTGGCTATGTGTTTGGGCTTGGGCTATGGTTAGTTTTAGGTTTCTTTTTAAGATGTATTTTAGTGTTAGGATCAGGCTTGGTCTAATGGATAGGGTAAGGCTTAGGGTCATGGTCAGCGTTATGGTTGGGGTTAGTGTTGCCGTTAGTCTTAGGGTAGGTTTACGTCTAGGATTAGGTCTGGAATTGTTGTCTTACTCAGGTGTATGCTATTGTTCGGGTTAGACTTAGGCCTAGGTTTTGCGTTAGGTCTTGCGTTAATTTTACATTTATCGTTGGTGCTAGTCCTAATTTTATGGACATTTTAGATTAAGGATTATATTTAGGTTCTGGTTTTGATAAGCGTTTATGTCAGTGTTAGGTTTCTCGAAAGATTTATTAGGATTAGTCTTCGAGTTAATTTAAGGTATAAATTAAGTTTGGCCTTCGGGTTAGGTTTATGCATAGGGTTCGTTCTAGAGGTAGGGTTTCGTTTCGGATTGTGTTAGGTTTAGGCTTGGGATAAGGGTCAGGTTTACGGCTAGGATTAGGTTCAGGTTTAGTGGTAGGTTTAGTACTATGGTTAGTTTTTGGGTAAGTGTTAGATTTGGGGTTTGAATTAGGTCAACTTTTATGGTTTGGTTTGCGGTTTGGGTTAGATTTAGGGTCAAGGCTACTGTTAGGTTTAGTTTTAGGGACACCATCACTGATAGTATTTGGTTTAGTGTTAGCATTAATGATAGAGGCGAATAGGCGTGTTTCAGGTAGTAGTTCAGAAGACGAAGATGCGATCCCTGGAACAAGAAGTTTATTGGCCTGACGTTGGGCTTCTCACTCGAACCCATCATCAGCAACAGTCGCAGATAAGGGTTGTGGTGACACAGTATTTATTGCACTTGGCTGCCGTGGGACCATATGCGCACTGTGATTAACAGCTCTCGCAACCAATGCTGTAGTCGTAATTGTGCCACCATTACCCATATCTGCGACTGTCTCTGATGATGGGTTCGAGTGAGAATCCGAAACCTCAAGCCAATAATTTTCCTGTTCTAGTGATGCCATCTTCGTCTTCTGGTCGGAGCTACGTTAGTGTTGCATTTAGTCCTGGGTTTTGAGTTATGTTTCACTTTAGGTTCAGGTTGGGGGTAATGTTGGGGTAAGGCCTAGGATTACATTTCGGTTTAAAGTTAGGGGAATATTTAGCCTTAGATTTTGGGTCAGCGCTAGGGTTAGCGTAAGGTTTGGTATTAGAGTTAGGCTAGGTCTAACGCTAGTGTGAGTGTTCGGTTTAGTGTTTGGATTTGCGTCAGGGTTGGGATTAGGTTTCGGTTTAGGGCTACGTTTCTGTTTTGGGATAGAGTTAAGTTTAGTTTCGGGATTTTGTTTAGGGCAAGGGCTCCGTTTCGCGTTGAGATAAGTGCCGTGTTTAGGGATAGCTTAAGAGTCAGGGTTACGGTAAGAGTCAGATTTGGCTTAATAGTTAGCGTTGGCTTCATGTTAGGGGTATGAATTATTTGTAGGATTAATGTTAGGGTGAACAGGTAAAGAAATCAAGGCAATATTCGGCTTAACTGGGAGTCGCTTAACTTGTGGTCTCCTGCGAGGCTGTAGACGAATACGTATGCTCGAGATGACGAGGCGATAGTCAGCACCCGCGATCGCCTTCGTCACCAGCACGTCCCGGTGGCCTCGCCTCCGGACGAAGACATAGTCCAGCATGTGCCACTGACGCGATCGAAGAGGCATGCATGTGGCATTCCCTCGCATCGGCAGGCAGAAGAGCGTGTTAGTCAGGATCTGTCGGTGTTCAGCGCATGTACGTAGGCGGAGCAAGCCACTGTCATTGGCGCCGTCGAGACCATGGGGACCCAGCACTCCTCACCAGGCAGCACAGTCTGTCTCGACGCGGGCATTGAAGTCACCAAGGCCAATTAACTTAT